ATTTGGGCTGGGGTTCTGGCTGCCGTCCAGCCCTCCCTGGTTGCTGTGAGCCTGGCTCTCCAGCCAGCCCAAGAAGTCCATGAGTTAGTTCTCTGTTGCTTGCAACCAAGAACCCTGACCAGTAAGTACAAAGAAGTCAGTATTCATGGGGATGGCAAGGAAGTGGGGCCTGGAGTGTGGACACATCTGGACTTGATGAGCAGTGATTCTGAGGCATGGGCAGCCATGGAGGAATCTCGTTGCCTTGTCTGAAATGTGGAGGGGAAACCCTGCCTAGGTGCTAGGTGGGGAAGCCCAGACAAGGAGTGCTGTGGGTAAGGGGTAGGAGGGATCTAAGAGGGGAGAGCCTAGAGCTGGGGACTGAGGATCGAACTGGGAGGAGAGAGATGGACTCAGGAAGAGGAGGGTGGCATTGCAGGAGGAGATAGCCAGGTTGGGTCACATGGTTCCACATGCTTAAAATATTTTTTTCACCCTTTTCTTTTCTCTCTTTTTTTAAATTAAAAAAATTTTTTTGAGAGGGAGTCTTGCTCTGTTACCAGGCTAGAGTGCAGTTGCACCATCTTGGCTCACTGCAACCTCTGCCTCCCAGGTTCAAATGATTCTCCTGCCTCAGCCTCCTGAGTAGCTGGGATTACAAGCATGCACCACCACACCTAGCTAATTTTTTTGTATTTTTAGTAGAGATGGGATTTCATCATGTTGGCCAGGCTGGTCTTGAAATCCTGACCTCAGGTGATCCACCTGCCTTGGCCTCCCGAAGTGCTGGGATTACATGTGTAAGCCACCGCGCCTGGCCTTTTTCACCCTTTTCTATATGCCAGGCAATGCATTGGTTAACAAAACAGTCCAGGGATGGGTATTATCCTCATATTGCCTACAAAGAAATTGTGTTACAGAAGAATTAAACAACCTGAATAAGATCAGAAAACCAGAAAGGGACAGGGTCAGAATTCAGACCTGAGTCTGCCTAACCCTGACACTGATGCCCTTAACAACCTCAACAGGTGCTCAGATTAGGAAGCAAAATCTCTGCCTCAGTCTCTGAGTTTTTATATAATTGGCCCTCAATGTCTGTGGGTTCCTCATCTGTGGATTCAACCAACTGCTATCAAAAACATTTGAGGGCCGGGCGTGGTGGCTCATGCCTGTAATCCCAGCACTTTGGGAAGCTGAGGCAGGCAGATTGCTTGAGGCCAGGAGTTCAAGACCAGCCTGATCAACATGGTGAAACCTCATCTCTACTAAAACTACAAAAATTATCTGGATGTGATGGTGCTCGCCTGTAATTCCAGCTACTTGGGAGGCTGAGGCAGGAGAATCGCTTGAACCCAGGAGGCAGAGGTTGCAGTGAGCTGACATTGCGCCACTGCACTCCAGCCTGGACGACAGAGTGAGACTGTCTAAAAAAAAAAAAAAATTGAAAAAATATGAGGAGGCCGAGGCAGGCAGATCGCTCGCGCCCAGGAGTTCAAGACCAGCCTGGGCAACATGGTGAAACCCCATCTCTACTAAAAATACAAAAATAAATTAGCTGGGTGTGGTGGCACACACCTGTAGTAGGCTGAGATGGAAGGATTACTTGAGTCAGGGAGGCAGAGGCTGCAGTGAGCCAAGATCACACCACTGCACTCCACCCTGGGAGACAGAAGGAGACCCTGTCTCGAAAAAAAAAAAAAAGTTTTTGAAAAAAAGTTGTGTCTGTACTGAATACATAGACTTTTTTCTTGTCATTATTCCCTGAACAATATAGTATGTACACTTATATACTGTAACACCTATGTACATACTATTTCCATTATATTAGGTATTTAAAGTAATCTAAAGATGATAAAAAATATAGAGGAAGGACTGGGCGTGGTGGCTCACACCTGTAATCCCAGCACTTTGGGATGCTGAGGCGGGTGGATCACCTGAGGTCAGGAGTTCAAGACCAGCCTGGCCAACATGGTGAAATCCCATCACTACTAAAAATACACAAATTAGCTGGGCGTGGTAGCGGGTGCCTGTAGTCCCAGCTATTTGGGAGGTTGAGGCAGGAGAATGGCGTGAAGCCAGGAGGCGGAGGTTTGCAGTGAGCTGAGATCCTGCCACTGCACTCCAGCCTAGGAGACAGAGTGAGACTCGATCTCAAAAAGAAATTTTATCACTGTGAGATAACACACTTTACTTCTTGTCTAAGTCAATTGAATAGAAGTTCTGTTTCTTGTCGCTAAAACATCCTTACTAATTTGGTATGCTAATAGCTGCAGCAGGAACAACAGCCATCAGTTAAAGGGGGAAAACCTGATTTTTTGACCAAGCAGGGGCCTGAGAATTCCTTTCCCTGCGGGTTCAGTGGGGAAGGGGGAGAGAGTATGCGGAAGCGCAGGCGGCCCGAGGCCCTTGCACTCTGAATCTTGTGGCAGGCAGAGAGAGCTCCCATCAGAGGAGGCGCCGCTCCCGGCCAGCCAGATTTCCAACTCCCATTTCCTGTAGGGTCAGCAGAGGTGGAGGATGGGGTAGGCAGAGGAAAGCAGCTTTATTTTCTGAATCAGGATGGAAAACAGATGTCCCAGTACCCCGCTGGTCCCAGATTCATCCTGGACAGAGGCTGGGCCTGTTCTCAGCCCTGACCCGTCCACCAACCTCCTGTCCCCCACATCAAGTCCAGATGTGGCTTCTTCCAAGTTCTAATAATAATTTTGATTTGTTGCAGCAAAGCAACCTTCACCCGCTAGCTCAATCCTAAACTTATCAACTCACCATGGAGTAGAGAAGGAGTAACACTATGAAAGCTTTGTAAGGAAACCTGCGTTGGGTAGAGAGGAGTGTGAACTTGAGATTCAGACCAATGTAGGTTCAACCACAACCTGGTCTTTTACTAGCTTTGTGATCTCAACCATTACATCAGTCATCAACTTCTGTGTAACAAGCCACCACAAAACCTAGTGGCTCAAAATAACAACTGTTTATTTCTCACGGTTCTAAAATTTGGGCAGGGCTTGGCAGGACAGCTCACTTTTTCTCTACATAGTGTTGCAGGGAATTGTGTGTGTGTGTGTTTGTGTGTGTGTGTGTTTTGAGACAGGGTCTCACTTTGTCACACAGGCTGGAGTGCAGTAGTGTGTTCATAACTCATGGCAGCCTCAAACTCTTGGGCTCAAGGGATCCTCCTGCCTCAGTCTGCCAAGTAGTTAGGACTATGGGTGCACATAACCATGCCTGGCTAATTTTTAAATTTTCTGTAGAGTCAGGGTCTTGCTATGCTGCCCAAGCTGGTCTCGAACTCCTGGGCTCAAACAATCCTCCCTCTTCAGCCTCTCAAAGTGCTGGGATTCCAGGCACAAGCCATAGTGCCCTGCCCACGGTGTTGTGTTTTGTAAGTTAAGACAATAGTGCGTGTGCACGAGCAGAGGAAGGCCATGCAAAATGCATGTCCACCCTGTTCCTTGCCTCCCATCTCTGTAATAGATCGTTACTTTTCCTTTCATCTGTCCTTACTCATCAGTAAACCACAGGAAGAGAGTGTTGGTAGAATATATGCACAGCAAGAAGAGAAATTAAAAGATGTTAGTTTTGACCAGGCGTAGTGGCTCATGCCTGTAATCCCAGCACTTTGGGGGCCGAGTTAGGTGGATCACCTGAGGTCAGGATTTTGACACCAGCCTGGCCAACATGGTGAAACCCTGTCTCTACTAAAAATACAAAAGATTAGTAAGGTGTGGTGGCACGCACCTGTAATCCCAGCTACTCAGGAGGCTGAGGCAGGAGAATTGTTTGAACCTGGGAAGTGGAGGTTGCAGTGAGCCGAGATTGTGCCACTGCACTCCAGCCTGGGTGACAAGAATGAAACTCTGTCTAAAAAATAAAAAATAAAAAATGAAAAAATAAAAGTTGTTAGTTTTGTGTGGTGTTCCCACTCTTCTGGTAGGAATGAAATATATATGCATATATGAACTATGAAATATGAATTGCATAATTCTGATGATTGTACATATGAGTTAAATGCTCTTATTTGCATTTAAAACTGGCTTTGCCCCATATAAAGTTGAATAGCAAAATTCACACTACCATTTACAAATTTTAACTTTTTAATTAGGGTAGCATTAAATAGCAAGTTAAAAACACTGTGGTGAGTTAAGGGAGAGATACTATCAAAGGCAAGAGAAAGCTTTATATTTTAGTGCCTCTAACAATGTTTTTCTTGCTTTTTGAATAAGGGGCTCCACTTTTTCATTTTGCTTTGGATTCCAAAAATTGTATAACTGGCCCAGAGGCCAGGCCTCTTAAAGCCTATGCCAGAACCGACACAGCATCACTTTTGCCACATTCTGTTGGTCAGAGCAAGTCACAAGGGCAGCCCAGAGCCAAGGCAGAGGTGGTGGTATGCAGGTGTGTGTGTGTGGTGGGGAACTGGCTCCACCTTTTGAAGGGAAGAACAGCATTCTAATACAGAGAGGAGAGGAATTGTCGGTGACCATCTGTAGGCCATCCCCTTTCTGATCTCATCTCATCTGTAAAATCGGAATGATTCCCCAGGGTTGATGGAGAATAAGGGAATATTGTGTTTGCAATTCCTGGAACATGGTGATGCCTCACTCAGGGTTGGTCCCTCCCCTTCTATCTTTTTGGGAGGGCGGGGAATGGAGCCTTACTCTGTTGCCCAGGCCGGAGTGCAGTGGCACGATCTGGTCTCACTGCAACCTCCGCCTCCCGGGTTCAAATGATTCTCCTGCCTCAGCCTCCCGAGTAGCTGGGACTACAGGCGTGTGCCACCATGCCCTACTAATTTTGTATTTTTAGTAGAGACAAGGTTTCACCATGTTGGCCAGGCTGGTCTCAAACTCCTGATCTCAGGTGATCCACCCACCTCGGCCTCCCAAAGTGCAGGGATTACAGGCATGAGCCACCGTGCCCAGCCCCGCTTCTATTTCTTAATCGTGCTTTATAAATGCTTACTGATTTGCTGTCTCATTTCAGTCATTCATTCACTTAATCTTTATTGAGTCCTATGAGTCACGCACTGTTCTGGGAGCCGGGGATCACAGCTGAGAAAAGAACAGACAAAAGTCCTTGCCCCTATGGAGTTCATTTTGACAAGAGAGACAGACAATAAATGAGGCAAACAAATAAAATATGTATTGTGTTGGGAAGTAAAGAGGCCAAGGAGAAGGAAAAAAAATGGTAAGGGGCTAGAGAGTTCTGTGGTGAGGGCCCAGTGTTCACTAGGGTGACCTGGGAAGGCTTCCCTGAGAGGAAGTCATCTGAGTAGATCCTAAAGGAGGAGCCCTGGGGATGTTCCAGGCAGAGAAACGGCCAGTGCAAGGGCGCCGAGAGGGGAGCACGTCTCAGGTGAGTGAGGGGCAGCGAGGGGTCCCAGGTGGCTGGAGGAGGGAAGAAGGGGAGAGATAAGGGAACTAGGGAGGGCAGATCAGGAAGCACCCCACCCCACCCCTGGCAAAGGACTTTGTCTTTTACTATGAATAAGATGAAATCACAGAGGCTGGCATGGAGGAGGAGAGCAGTGGCTGCAGGGTAGGCCAAAGAGGAGAGCAGTGGCTGCAGGGTAGGCCAAAGACTATAGTGGGAGCAAGAAGAGGCAGGGAGACTGGTGGGAGGGCGGCCTGGCCAGAGGCATCCCTCTGGAGGTGGGAGAAGTTGGCTGAATTCTGAACAGTGCTTTGGAGTTAGACAGGACTTTCCTGTCAAATCACAGGAAATCAATTTGGCATGACGAGCAGGTGTTATCAAATCCTCACGTTATAGAAGACAGCATCAAACCTTGGTGAGGCTAGATGACGCGCATCGTGTCACGTAGTTACTAAGCGGTGTCTTTTCGAAGGCAGGAAGGTTGCAGGGTCTGTCTGAAGCTGACAGTAACGGATGTGTGGTCTGCAAGTGGGTGTGTTTGTAGGTCTTGCCTTTCTCTAGGTCTCCATATCTGTTGTCGCCCCATCTCCACCCCCCACTGCCACCTGTCAGCTTCTGCTCTTCTTACGCGTTGCAGACACATCTTCGTCTTCTCCCAAGCCCATTTCTAAGGGGCCTATATTTTTCTGGTGCCCAGAGTGTATGTGGGCGACCCTTGTAGCATCGGCATGCCTCATAAGAGCGTGAATGCCCCGGCGCGTGTGTTTCTGAGTGTGCGCATTACTTTGCTGTGTGTGAGCTGTATGTGCATACTGCTGGCTGTGAGCACCTATGGATGGGGGGGCTTAAGGGACTGGGTGTGTGCATGAGTGTAAATGTGTGTGTAAATGTGTGAGCACATGGAGGTATCCTCTCTCCTCTCTACTCCTTCAAATTTACTCCCATCCTGAAACGCCCAGGTCAAGCCCACTTCTCCAAGAAGCCCCCTCACTTTTCTAGGCCATAAGAAGCTCCCCCTGCTGAATCCCACCACCCCCTCCATCAGAATCACATACTCCACGGCTTTGACTGCTTTCCAGCGGATCTGCCTCCTAGAATGCCAGCTGTCCACATGTGGCAGGGCAAGGTGGGCATGCAGGCGCACATCCCTGCCCCTGTTCAACCATCAGGCTAGACCTCCTGGGGTCACCTCCCCCAGCCCCCCACGTGAGTTGTTTAATGGTGCTTTGGAGAAGGAGGGGCAGCAGCCTCAGTAGGGTCTAGTGAGCAGGACTGGCGGCCTCCAGCAGGCAGAGGCAGGTGCGCAGAGGTGGCTACGTCCTGAGCTCCCTTCCTCCCTGTGGGGAGCAGCTGAGTCTCCAGGCAGCAGGATGGAACTCTACACTGGAGTCTCTCAGTGAGCTCCCAGGGTGGGCTCGTGGGGGTCCTGGGAACACAGAGACTTGGCCCCCTAGAGAGACCTGTGGGCCTCAGGGTAGCCGGTCCCATCCTTTGCTCCCTCCCCTGCACCCTCTAGGGGCCCCCAGGCTGGGCCCCAAAGCAGGGTTCTTTCTGATGTAAACCCCCCTCTCCTTCTCTTTCCCCTTCTTCCTCCCAGAGCACCGATTCCTCTGTGAACCCTGTGGCCTCTCCTGCAGGTACTACTGGGTCCTTTCTCTTTCATCTACTGGAAATCAGGCCTTTGCTGTTAGCCTGAGTTTCCTGACAGACTAGAGAATCATTTTAGCCATGAGCCAAGTCATCCTCACATGGACCGCACTGGAAATCCTGGAGGCACATGGCCAGTTTAGTCTGCCACCCCACCGCCTGCCCTTCCCTCAGTCCTGGCCAGGCTCCTGCCTCAGGGCTTTTGTTCTAGCTGTTTCCTCTGTCTGAAATGTTCTCCCTCAGACTCTGCTTGGCTCTTCCTTCTCCAAACTCCTGTTGAAATATTGGCCTCTTCATGGGGCCTCGCTGGAGCACCCAGCTTACTATGGTGACCTGAGTGAGGGCACACCCCTGCACCCACCGGCACTCCTCATCTCCCAGCTCTGTCTGCTTCCCCTCTTTCTTTCCATAGAACCCACTGCCTACATAAGGATTATAGAATGTGAGGCTGGGCGCAGTGGCTCACACCTGTAATCCCAGCACTTTGGGAAGATGAGGCAGGAGGATCCCTTGAGGCCAGCCTGGGCAACATAGCAAGACCCGTCCTTACAAAAAAGAAATAGAAAATTAGCCAGGCTTGGTGGCACACACCTGTAGTCCCAGATACTCAGGAGGTTGAGGTAGGGGGTTCACTTGAGCCCAAGAGTTTGAGGCTGCAGTGAGCTGTGATCCCGCCACTGCACTCTAGCCTGGGTCACAGAGGGATACCCTATCTCAAAAAAAAAAAAAAAAAAAAAAAAAAAGAGAAAGGAATGTATTTATTCTGTCTATTATGCCTTCCCAACAAAATGTGGACCCCACAAGGGCAGGAATCTTTTTTTTTTTTTTTTGAGACAGAGTCTCGCTCTGTCGCCCAGGCTGGAGTGCAGTGGCATGATCTCGGCTCCCCGCAAGCTCCGCCTCCTGGGTTCAAAGGATTCTTCTGCCGCAGCGTCCTGAGTAGCTGGGACTACAGGCGGATGCCATGACGCCCAGCTAATTTTTGTATTTTTAGTAGGGATGGAGTTTCACCATGTTGGCCAGGCTGGTCTCGAACTCCTGACCTCAGGTAATCTGCCTGCCTTGGTCTCCCAAAGTTCTGGAATTACAGGCATGAACCACCGCACCTAGCGGAAGGCAGGAATCTTTACTTTTCTCACTGATGTCTCCCCACTGCCCAGAACTTGCCAGGCCATTTTATGTGCTCTATAGACATTTACTTAGGTTGTCATTGGCACCGGAGCTGACAGCAGAGAGAAGCCTGAGGGAAGAAGGGAGGTCCTCAAAGCCATGGCTGCTCCTCAGAGGGGAGGTGGGGGCAGGGGAAGGAGAGGGGCCAGGCGGCCACTGGATCTCTAGACCACCCACCCCACTTGTCCTCCTCCCGGGGCGTGGGGGCCTGTCCGCCCTGCACACGCATGTTGGCGCACACCTGCTTTCGCTGCATACGTGGCCCCACCTCCCACCTAGCCATATGCACGCGCAGCTGACGTGGCTGTGGTTTTGAGGCCCCAGAGATACAGATTAGAGTCAGGGTGTCTGTCCTCTTCGGCTGCAGCAGCAGGCTGGGGTGGGGACAGGCACCCCCTGCAAGCAAGCACACAGAGGCCTTTCCTCCCTGAGCGTCTTGCACACACATGTGAACAGACAGGTGGTCCCCCCAGGCTGGCTGTCCTTAGACCTCAGGCCCAGGAGCTGTGCACCTATCTGTACTAGGCCTTGCTGCAGGGGAACAGGGTGGGGGGGGCAGAGGAAGTGGCTGTGGGCGCCCTTCCTAGTGTCTGAACTTCCACCTTTAGTATTTGTGCCCGACGCATGGGCGCCCAGCTTTGTTTGTCAGTTCTTTCCTTTGAGGGAAGCGTTATTTCTTTTGTCTTCTCATGTCAAAACCACATCCCTGCGGGACGGGTTCCACATTCAGCCCTTAGTGGTGTCGAGCTTGTCTGCCCAGGGCTCCCTCATGCACACACCATGTGGCCAGTCCTGGGGAGCATGCTGGTTCCCTGCTCAGAAACCTGCTGCTGCCAGCTCCAGCCCCGCACTCGGACCCAGTGCTCGAGACCCTGCCCTGCGGCCTTCTCCACCCCAGGCATCCTGCTTTGTGAGGAGATGAGTGTGGCCTTGAGCCAGATGTCCAGGTTCAATGCCAGCTCTGTAGGACTGGCAAGCCACTTAGCCTCTGTGCCCAGGTTCTCTCCCTTGCAGAACTGTTGTGAGAGTTAAGTAGGTTCATACATGCAAAGTGCTTAGCACAACATCTACTGTGCAGGAAAGCTGTCCATTAATATTAGCTGCCATGATGATCATTTCCTGCCTCAAAGTCAGGAGGGCCGAGAAATGGCCTTGTCAGGGTTTTGCAGCCCAGCTCTGGCCTCCCAGACTGAGCCAGCTGCTTCCAGGTCACCTGGGAGCTTGTTGGAGACTCAGAGTCCCAAGCCACTCTAGGGGTTGTGACACAGCAGCTCCGGGCTGGGCTGGGGTGGTGGGGCTAGGGGCCCCACACTGGGGCCTGCAGGCATCTGTGGGACAGGAATTCCCTGCAAGGCCCTTCCCCAGTCTCAGGCTGGTCCGCCCACCCGTCTTTCCACTTCTGCTTCTCCAGATCCCCTGTGCCTTGCAAGGCTCCTTTCCTGCAGGAAGTAGGCTCATGAACCCTGCCGCCAACACCCCACAACCCGTACTTCCTGGAGCCTCGGTTTCCTCAAGTATGAAAGGGGATAAAAAACGCCCACATCTCAGGATTAACATCAAGCGAGGTCTTAGATGGAAAGTGCCTGGCCCATGGCAGCCAAGAAGGCTAGTTATTATTACTGCTGTTGGTATTATTGCCCGCACCCTGCACCTGCTGAGCACCTGCATGTTCCTCTGGGTGCCTGGCAGGGTCTAAGTGCCTAAACTCACATCAGGCTTTGGGAAAGACGTGTTGACCAGGGTGGACTCTGATTAACCTTCCACCTCCTTGCCTTGGGCTCTTGGAGCTGAGAGGGAGCACCATGGCTGGAGTCTGAGGGTGGCTGGCCCTCACTACAAACAGCCTGAGCGAAGGAGGAAGGAAGAGGTGTTGAACTGAGTGGCTTGGGCCCCAAAGGAAGTTGAAAGCTAGGCCGCGGAGTGACAGTTCTTGGGGGCCCCACTGCAGCTCCCTGCCTGTCCCACCAGCTGCTGTCAGTGGGGAGTGCACAGGCCCGGGGTGGGTAGAGGTAGGGTCCCAGCGTGGGCCAGCTGCCTGGGCCCTGCCACTGCAGACCTGGACGGCCACCAGAGCTTTGCGTCTTGGGATCAGCATTGCCTTCTCCAGGCTCCTTCAGTGGAAGCCGTTTACCAGCACCTTCTCACTGCACACCCAGGCCCCACCTCGCCCCACCTCGCCCAGGCGCAGCCCTAGAAAATATCCATGAAGCACTCACTGTGTGCCAGGTGGTTTCAGTTCCACAACCTCATTTAATCCTCCACAATTCCTTGACATTTTATAGGAAAGAAAACTGGCTCAGAGAGGCTGAGTCACCTGCTCAAGATGACACAGCTTGTGGGTGGCTGAGTTGGCCTTCCAACCCAGATTCCTGTCATGTTCCTCAAGCCGACAGGTGGGTGAATTTGTGCTGGAAGAGACTGTGCGACTAGGCCTCTTGTTTGTCAGAGAGGAAATAGACAGCCCGCACTGGGAATTGAGTGCCCCAGGCCATGCCGCAGGCTCCTGGCAGAACCAGGATGGGTTATAGAAACTTCTTTTGGCACTGGGTGCCAATGGGAGGGGCTCTGCCGGGAAGGCTTCCTCCTTTGCTGCCTGCAGGTCTCCACTCAGAGGCCACCTCCCCAGAGAGAAGCCTTTCTGGCAGTCCTAACTGAAGTAGGGCACTGTTACCCTCTCCCCCTGGGCTGGCTTCAGTTTTCTTGGTGGCACTTATTGTCACTTGCAGTGTTATGTATTCAATTATTTATTTATTGTTTCTCCCCCATGCTAGAATGTGAACTCCATGAGCTCCAGGAGGGTCTGTTGTGTTCCCTTGCCTAGAATAGTACCTTGCACAAACTCAACAATTTTTTGTGGAATGAATGAATGAGAGTGCCAGGCGATAAAGAAGCAAGTATGCATGGGGGAAAGTTTGGTGTGATAATTCTGGTGGAGGAGGGAACTGAGAAGTAATTTACAAAAGGGAAGGGGCAGGGCCACTGTGGACAGCCATAGCTTCTGGCACGAAGACTACGAAGTGAATGGTACCCCCTGAAGTTGGACAGTTCTCAACTTGGACAACAGTCCATGGTGCCCCTACGGGTGGGAAAGGACCATCCCCTCAGCAGGGACTGAAGGAGAAGGGAGCCAGGAATTGGGCAGGTCTGCAGGTGCCTGTAGCGGGAGGAACAGGCTGTTCCCTCTGTAAGGACGCCACGTGGTTGCGGTTAGCAGTTTGCCATCCGGTGTTGTCTCCACAGACAGTTGTCCAACCAGGGAGGGGGCGAGTGCTTTGCTGTGAGCAATCGCTAGTACCTGGAGCACCCAGCGGGCTGCGGGCAGGAAAATCACCCGACACACCCCACAAACACACACCAAACACTGTGGACAAAGATAATCGCAACAGGCAGAGGGGGGCTGTTTCCTGAGCCAGTCCTGGGCTCAGAGGTGGAGGACACTGTGTACTGAGGTCTCTCCCCTGAGCAGGGGCCTCGGTAAGGAACTTGTCACAGCTCTGTGGGCCCGGCCCCCTTCCTCCTCCCCAGCCCCACAGGCTGGGCACAGCAACAATCACCCAGCAATCGCGGGCCGTCTTCAGTGAGTCACCCTGCCCACAGCGAGCCTGGCTGGACGATGTTATCAGCTCCCCTGCTTACTTAATTCCTCGGGTGACATCACCACCGCCTCCGTCTTCTCCTTCTCGGTACTGTAGCCTGCAGCCTGGCATATCCTGGAAGGGAAGGCGGTGGAGGTCTCTTGCCAGAAACTACCAGGGCAGGTAAATTGGAACCTTCCGTTCCTTGACCTTTAGCCCCAAGAGGCTTGCCCTAGTTTCTTGCTGTGCACACAGGGGCCTCAGTTTACCTCCCAGGAGATGCTGTCTGCAGTGAAGCCCTGGGAAATGCATGGCGCCCCTACTCTGTGCTCATGCCCTCTCTCCTTGTGGAGAGGGAGTTTCCTGTTGGACAGAGGCCAAGCTGCTTGCCCTTCAATGTGTCCAGTTTATCCTGGGGTTGCACCCCCAAGTCCAGCCTGAGTTCTGTCTCACGTGGACACAGCTGCCTCCTAGCCTCTGTGATGGGCCTTTGGGTTCCCAGGCTCTCCCAGGCTCAGATGGGGCAGCCTGCTGGCCTTCTGTCCACCTCTGTGTCTGGCCACCATGCCCTGGGACTTAGCCCTTCACCTCCTGGGAGCCCAGGCCAGCCCTTCCCTGCCACAGCCTAGCATTCCCTTCTGCATCCCCTCACCTTCACCATTCCCAATACCGACCTGCAGGCCCAGTGGCACATGGGAAGCGCCGTAGGGTCAGTATAGCAGTGACAGAAGTGACCGGAGATGTGTATGGTTCCCTTTCAGCCTGGCCTCCTCCTCTGCATCCCAGTGGGATGAGGGAGGGGATTAGTTCCTCTCCCTGAATTGTCCTACTCTACGTCCTCCCCACCATTTGAGCTGGACAGCAGAGCGGGGAGGCTGAGTGGCCCCAGGGAGGGGCTGAGTGCAGGCCTCCCCAGCCGGACCTCAGTCTGTGATGGGAAGCTGCCCAAGCCTGGCATGCGAGGGAGGCAGTCAGGGGAAGCAGGTGGTGCTGGGCAGGGACAAGAGGCAACCCTCTGAGCTGCCAGCTTCCTCTATGACCCTCAGGGGACAGTTCCTCCAATGGCACTGCCAGAGGCTGGGGAAAGAGGTGTCTGAACACCAGTCACTTTTGCTCTAGTTTGACCAAAACAAATTGTTCCTTAGAAGGAAAAAGAAAAAAAACAAAACCACAAAACCCCAAAAACCTCACCATTGAGGTCATGCTGATCACCCCGTAGGCTGATAAACAAGTCCGGGAGCAGAGAGCATCCCTGGGCAGGGTGAGCACCCGCCACCGCACCCTTCCCATGGGCATTGGAGGTCGGCCTCGCCACTGCACACAAACACTGCTGCCCCCTCCACATCCTGGAAGGCTGCAGAATGCTGTTCCAACCTTCTGGAGTGGGGGGGCCCAGAGAGAGATCAAAGCAAGCCTGGGCTCCTCCCAACACATGCCACTCTCACTATACTGCTGTTTCCTCACCTGTCGAGTGGAGGAGCGATTGAGGCATTAAGTGTGAAGGTACTTGGAAGTGTTCACTGGCCAGCCAAGAGGCTGGCCCTGAAGAGAGGGGAAAAGGGAGAGGGAACATTTCAGAGAAGAGATCCCACCTCAATGATCTAAGGTCAGTTGATGACATCTGGCCTCAGATCTGATAGGCTCCCTTTAAGTCCTGAGCTGAGTTCTTATGAATGCTTCTAGTGAAGTGCACACCTCGAGAGTGATTGGTACCATTGCTGAACTTGGCTTGTGGTCTGCTCAGACCCTTGGCTCCTTCTCCAAATTCTAGAACACAACCTAACCAGATTTAATGGGTGTTCTTACTGTTGTACTTCCCTCGTTGATTGCAGACTAAGCTCAAATTCTAGTCCATCCTGATTGCTTCCCTCAGTTGAAGAGTACAGCCTGACTTTAGCTCTAGTTTGAGCCCTTATTCCTCTCTTTTTTTCTTTTTTTTTTTTTTTTGAGATGGAGTCTCACTCTGTCATCCAGGCTTGAGTGCAGTGGCATGATCTCAGCTCACTGCAACCTCCGCCTCCTGGGTTCAAGCGATTCTCCTGCCTCAGCCTCCTAACTGGGATTACAGGTGTGCACCAACGTGCCTGGCTAATTTTTGTATTTTTAGTAGAGATGGGATTTCACTATACTGGCCAGGCTAGTCTTGAACTCCAGCCCTCAGGTGATCCTCCTGCCTTGGCCTCACAAAGAACTACCACTCCTGTCCTGACCGCGTATCCCTCTTTAACTCTAAGCTCAAAGCTCCTGTCCACTTCCAGAGCCCCGTACATGCCTTGCACTCATTTGTCCGAAACCAAAGTTGTCTTTCTCTTACCAGTGCATTCCTCCACTTGAATGCTGCATCTTAGCTCACAGTCACACTCCCCATCATCCACACCAGAGGCTGAGCCACCCCTGACCAGTGCCTTCTGTCCAGTGCGTCTTATTGGCTCTCTCATCTGGTGGGTTCTAACGCTTTGGTGTCTTAAGGCTTCATCCCCTCTTCCTCATTCCTCTCCACCCCTCAGTTTCTATAGTAATTTAGATCCTCATCTCTTTCCTTAAGAACAACCAGTGGAACCAATCAGAACTCTGAGGCCATCCTCACACAGCTGCCAGGGGCTTTTTTCTGATGCCATGGTGCCCTCCTCTCTTGGTGGCTCCCTGCCTGCCCCTCTAGCTTCATGCTCTGACCCTGCTGGGCGCAGACCGTGTGCATCTGGAAACAGCTGGGCCTAACTGCTTCATTACCTATGCTCAGGCTGCTGGCAAGGCCCTCCCCTCCTCCCTGTCCCCTTCTGCTGCCTTCAGGAGGCTTCCCTGACTGAAGACACATGGCTAGTGCTCCTTCCTCCGTGCCCCTACCCTGTCCACTTCCTGCTGAGCATGCTCCTCCCTCGGGTGCCTTCCCAGTTACAGACTCAGTCCCTACCCTGGCCGCAGACAGGGCCTTCTTCTCTCTACCTAGACTGCAGCCCCACCAACCCTATGTGGTGGCTATGTGCCAGGCAGACCTGGAGTGGGTATCCCGTTTTACCCACTTCCCACTGGGGACCTCAGACAAGTGACTTTCTCTCTCTAGGTCTTCCTTTCCTCATCTGTCAAATGGGAGGATAACATAACCTGCGTCCCAGGATGGGTGGTTGGGCCTGGCACACTGTGAGGGGCAGCACAGGGCATCCGTGTGGCACCCGCTGTTGTGATGAATTGCTAGGACCTGAGAGAAAGTGTAGAGGGACCAGGGCTCCCCAGCACAGTCCTCCTGTTCTTCCCCTTTCTGGCTGTCTGCTCTCTCTACCCAGAAGAGGGCTTGGGCGAGGCCACCTCTTCCCCTCTGCAGCACTTCCTCCCCAGGACCCAGTGCTGTCCACACCGGCGGCAGGGTCCAGTGTCAGACTCGTTCTCCTCAGCCGGCGACGGTGTGGGCTGCCACACTCCTCTTCCTGGCTGCAACTGCAGTGCTTTGCTCAATAAGGCCCCAAGGGTTGCTGCAATCAAACAGGGACTGAGCCGCTGAGGTGACACACAGTACGCCAGTGGCTGCTAGCTCCAAAGTCCAGATGCTATGCACTCCGCCCTGCTGCTGCCCCTTCTGCTTTTCTTTTGGCATCTGAATGACCTTAGTCTCCTTATCTGCAAAATGGGCATAATAATTGCTTCTCTTGCTTCCTCAGCCAGAGGACAGGGAGAACAATGGGGCTGGGCTGGGAAGTTGTGAGAAAGTGAAGACCTCGCTTTGTGCAAGGCAGGTGAGCCTGGCTGGAGCGGGGGATATGACAGGAAGAACTGCAGGGAGACCTCACCTCACCACCCATCCAGCCACCTTGCATCGTTGGCCA